TTTCACGGCGAGAGGGAAGGTGGACGAGAGGCTGTGCATGATCCGAGAGAGGGGGTGACCAGAACGAGTTGCGGTGCAGCGGAGAATTTTTTTTCGAGAACCCTAGATTCGGACGGAGAGAGAAAAGTGCACTTTTCTCCCGAAATCGGCTTCAAACAGGGGAAATTTTTCTGGGGAAAATGTCTAGTTGGCGCAACATCTTTCCCTCACTTTCCTTTGTCTTTTGCAAGACAAACACCCGATTATGAAGGAAATTGTGAAAAATACCCTATGTCAGTTTTCAGTGGTCTTTTTCTGTGGTTTTTGGACCAAACAAACAGCCCCTAAATGCAACCTCATTGTTTTGAACCTGTTACGAAACCAAACCCATGCAGCTCAAAGAAATTCCTTGCTGCCATTGCTCTCCAATTGTTTTCAATATCACATTTGACTTTATGTATAGACTAGGAAGTACCTTGCTCAACTCTGCTTTAGGTCTTGAAATTAATGAATATGATCCCAAGCCTTTTTAATGAAGATATTATGACATAATGCTCCTTATGTTAGCTGTATAGAGTACTTATATCTTCTATTTGGATTTATAGAATGATAATTAATTATTTAATCTAATTAGGCGGTGATCATAGGATAAATAGTAGAGTTACTGCTTGCTTGTATTTATTCTTTAGGATTTCCTAAAGGCCCTGGAGTAACATTGTAAGAAGAATTTGGATATTCATTAGAACTCTGTAAGTGGTGAATCTATGCATTTATTCATATGTGGATTTATTCCATGAATAACGTTTATTTAGAGTATTTTGCGCAATTATCCGTTGTTGGTTTCATATTTTACGAAGACACGAGTATTTGGGTTCTCTCTTTAACAACAGTCATGTCTTTATTATATAGTACCATGTTGAGATGTGTATATGGGTTGAGATTCTTTATTGATTTTACCTTTCGCATTTTAGTATAAAATATTTGCAGTTCACTTATATTAAACAGATGCATCTCATGTTAACATACCGTTATATGTAGGAAAAATAAGTAAGTCATAATGGGCTCAAGGTGCTTCCAAGAGGTTTTTATTTTAGCGCTAAGAACCTAAACTTGGGTCTCACATCCTGACCACAGGCTAAATAATTCAGGGGATTGCCACGACAATCAGAGTATTGAAGTGTTGATTGCATTGAGACGTGGCTTGCTTACATTTCCAATTCCTACGAAATATTATTTTTCACTCGTGGCATCAAAAATGGTATAATAATTTGTTGGTGATATTTCTATTGTATATAAACATGTTTACATTACTTTTGATTTATGATGATTTGTATATTTAGTTTTGTTAAACTAGTGCATAATGTATAGATTCATCCACTTAGTAAGTATTAAACTCATTATGTTTTATTCATCTTTTCAGAGACTCCGGATTAGGTAGAGCTGGAGAGACTCATAATTCTAAGGAAGAATTGAGGAAAATGACTGAACTTTGATTAATTGCAGTGTTGTTTTTTAAGTGAATTTTTAAATAAATATGTCGATCGATGTTTAATTGATTTTTTAAAGATCATGTAGTGAGATCTTCTCTTTGAGTTTGAATCCCACTTCTGGTTCAGAGAACTTTTATCCATTGTATAAATTGGATTAATATAGGTCTTGATTATGAAGAATAATTCACTGAATTTTGATTCATATGATAAGTGGTGGTGGTTATTTGATAAGTTTAGGTATGGATCATATGTGGAGGATGTAAAGAAATAGAAAAAGGTCAAGAAGATATGTTATTTATCTAACTCAACCTTTCTTAAACAGAGGTTTGGGGGATATTACAAAATAGCTATGAGATAAAATCATATCCAATCATATTCCTAATATCTCTCAATTACATATTCCTAATATATTATTCCTAATTATTTATATTTCTACAATATATTCCTTGACACTCCCTCTCAAAGCTGAAGCATGTATATCATACATGTCCAGCTTGTTACAAATAACGTACACACGTTCTAGTCAGTGACGGTGTCTCAAAATAATTTTGTTCTTATTTTTCACTTGGATATCTTCAAATCAGTTAGTCCCCTCTAGGGCTCCACCAATCAAATAATCCTTTTAGGATGCAAGAACAAATGATCCTTTTCAGGATCCGACAACAAATGATACTTTTTTGAAGGATTCGAAAGGATCCTTCTTTAAGAATCTAACGACAAATGATCATTTTCAGGATTTAACAATAAATGATCATTTCTTTAAGGATCTAACAAATGATCATTCTTTAAGGATCTGACAAACAAATGGTGGAGTTGACTTTGCGCTCGAGAAAAGATCAATAAGGCAGAGATCGACAATGAGGACGATATCAAATCGTCGAGAGACCTCTGTCATCGAGATCCAAATTTTGGGGTCGTAATTCAAGTAAAGCGCTCGTGCAGAGACTTTCTATACACAATTAAGATAGATTTACTACATGGAAGCATGTAAAAACTTGTTTCCAAAATTAATGATGATATAAATTTTGTAATGGATAATCCATGTACAATCATCACGGAAGATAGTTTAAGTAAATGAAATACTGGAATGCTAAAAATTGATCAAGGCATTATGGATTATATAACATTATCTTGAAAATTACGAATAATAAAAATTTAACACTTCAGAACACATGATTTAGACAAAAGTAGAGACACGTCACTAAAAATTTAATAAGCAAAACAATACTACTTCAAAATATAACTACTCGACACAGACAAGGAAAACAGATAAAACATAGTTACGTATGATAAAGTGAAAGGTAGTACTAGAAGTTCAAAAGTTTAGAAGCAACATTTAAATAAAATTTTCATTAAAAAATATTTCTACAGATAAAAATAGAAGAAATAAGCAAATTAGACAAAACAACTCAAAATATTATTTAGCTAAAGATAGTCTTTGTATCTTGAAAAGTTCAAATATTACTTCAAGAAAGTGTATTGTCTTTTCTTTGAAAAACCAAGGCTGTTTTCTAGACTCGAGAACACAACTAACCAACAAAAGAAGAACAAGTCAACAATATGAAATTTTGATTTAAAAAAATATTAGAAAGATGTGAAATGTTCCGAATGCTGTTAAAAGTTCATAGGAAATTGCTAAACGAATGTCTTTGATGACG